TTTTCTGATTTTTTTAAAATTTTATTTTATTATGTTATGTTAGTCATCATTCATTACATCATTAGTTTTTGATGTAGTGTTCCATGATTCATTAAAGCATATAACACCCAGTGCTCCATTCAATACGTGCCCTCTTTAATACCCATCACCAGGCTAACCCATCCCCCCACCACCCTCCCCTCTAGAACCTCCAGTTTGTTTCTCAGAGTCCATAGTCTCTCATGGTTCATCTCCCCCTCCAGTTTCCCCCCCTTCATTTTTCCCTTCCTACTATCTTCGTCTTCTTCTTTTTTTTTTTTAAACATATAATGTATTATTTCTCTCAGAGGTACAGGTCTGTGATTCATTTATTTTAACACTGTGTGGTCAAAAAATGCATTCTGCATGATTTCCATCCTTTGAAATATATCAAGACTTGTTTTATGCTCCAGAACGCAGTCTACTTGGGTCCTTTTCTAAGTACACTTGAAGGAAAGTTTCTTTTGTAGCTGTTGGGTGTAGCAGGCAAAATCTTCCAAAGCTTTCTCTTCATCTTTCCTTCTAGGCATCCATCACGGATCCCCCAAAGTCAGTGCTTCTGTTTGCACAGTACTTTCTTCTGATCCTAGTGAATTATGTACATCTCCCACTCCACATCCTGCATCTTCCTACCCATAGGATCTCTCAAGCCTCCATCTGAAGTGCAAAGTAAACAGAAATCTCAAGCTGCTTGAGGCGGTTTAGAAGCCATGCCTTGCTTGTCAAGGAAGACAAGATAACGACCCAGGCTTCCTTTCCATATTTTTTGTTCTACTCTTTATGTGATCGTGTGGCGACTAATTTGGGATTTGGTGGGAGAGAGGGCAAATGGGGTAGATATTGTCATTGTTCGTGTGGGGTCATCTGTAAATCCCCCGTGACGTCTCCCCTGTCTGACTCAGGACCCGGCTCAGGTGGGACGTGTGATGATTTTTTTTCCTGCAGAGTTATGTTTTATATTTTCAATAGTTAATATATATGTACTAGAAAATGTGCTTTACAAGAAATATAATCTCCCTTTCTAACCTGTGATTTGCACAAGTGATACACTTAAGTTTGGGAAATTAGTTGACTTAAAGTAAAAGACTATGTCAATGAAAATACAGGGGTTTATCTATATGGCAAAATGTGTAAATATGGTACTTAATATGGGGTGTAGGCAAACTGGTGTGAGCACTGCTATACAGTAAACATTTGCTATTGCAACAATGTGAACCACCTTTAGTCTAAATTATTTATCCTAAGTCCTTCAAGGACCCTTCCTAACGAGATTGGAGAAGCTGACACAAGGAACAGCACACGGTTACCACAGTTCACCCAGAAAAAGCATTCCAGCTACACCTTATGATATTTGGTTCACCTCGTTCCAGGAAAGATCTGCTCCTGGTCGTGGGATGGAATCTGGAGCAGCTCAGAAGGAAAGGTGTTGGGAAAAGAATTAAGTCCAGCCCTTCCATTGCCCATGCATTCATCCCCCACCCTGCATTACCAACATGCAGAAGGATGCTCACCTTTTCCCATTCTCGGTCCTTGTTCAGCACAATCACCACCAGTCTGGGATGCACCTGATAGCCTTCCTCAGTGAAGGACAAGTCTTTGCCATCCCATGTCACATTGACCATAAATCTAGAGAGAAGAAGAGAGAAAGACAAGTTTTTAGGGAAGAAGGAAAGAGGTCAGTTGAGTGGAAGGCACCACCGTGTAATACTCGGAACGTGGAGACTTACATGGCCATGATCATCCATGACAAGTGGCCTCTATCTGTGGGAGTATTAGTACCCATGTAGGCACTGCTAATTGGCCAGGCACTCGTTCCCATGAGCCTGTACTCACTCTCAGAATCCCCCATCCTATATAGATGTTAGTAATTGATTGTCATTAGCACATGGGATGGAACCTTTCTGTCCTGCCACACCCACACACCTCTGTTCATATGACATTACAGGAGGATCTTAAAGCATATTCTTTTATGTTTTAACAAGCTTCCCTAAAGGAAGCTGCTGCCTCATTAACCATATGGGATGCAACTTCAAAGAAATGGTATCGTATCTATTCATTACTCATTCCACTAATACTTATTAAATGCTTGCTACATGCCAGGACTCAGCTACTTGGCTGAGGATAAATAAGGAAACAAATATGATCCCTCTCCTCATAAAGCTTATAGTCTAAAGGAGAGGATAGGCATTAATTAATTACAGATCTATGACAAGTGTTATAATAGCGAGGTGGGTGTGCTATGTAGAAGTGAAACAGGGGTCAGGCAAGACATCTATAAGGAAGACTTCCAGGCTTCACTGGAAGGATGAGTCAGCATTAACTAGGTTAAAAAAAAAAAGACATAAGCAAATTCTAGGCAAAAAGGGCAGCATGTGCAAAGGCTCTGTGGCAGTACACACAAACTGCAAACCAGTGAGACCAAAGCAGAGAGAGACAGAAGAATGTGGGATGTGGTGTGGTTGAGAAGGTAAATAGGGGAGATAATGCAAAGCTTCTCAGGCCATGTTAAAGGGTTCTGTCTTTCTTTTAAAACAGTAGGAACACACTGAAGGTTTATTGTTGTTCAGTTAGCCACTGTATAGTACACATCAATTTTTGATGTAGCATTCAATGATTCATTAGTTGCATATAACACCCAGTGCTCATTACAACACGTTCCCTCCTTAATACCCATTACCCAGCTACCCCCACTCCACGACCCCCTCCCCTCTGAAACCCTCAGTTTGTTTCCCAGGGTCCATAGTCTCTCATGGTTCATTTCCCTCTCTGATTTCTTCCCCTTCAGTTTTCCCTCCTCCCCCTATGGTCCTCCACGCTATTCCTTATGTTCCACATATGAATGAAACCATACAATAATTGTCTGTCTCTGCTTGACTTATTTCACTTAGCATAATCCCTTCCAGTTCCATCCAGGTCAGTGCAAATGGTGAGTATTCATCCTTTCTGATGGCTGAGTAATATTCCATTATATATATGAACCACATCTTCTTTATCCATTTATCTGTTGAAGGGCATCTCGGCTCCTTCCACAGTTTGGCTGTTGTAGATATTGCTGGTATGAACATTGGGGTGCATGTGCCCCTTCTTTTCACTGCATCTGTATCTTTGGGATAAATATCTAGTAGTGCAATTGCTGAGTCATAGGGTAGCTCTATTTTTAATGTCTTGAGGAACCTCCATACTGTTTTCCAGAGTAAATGTAGCAGCTTGTATTCCCACCAACAGTGTAAGAGTGTTCCCCTTTCTCCACATCCTCACCAACATTTGTTGTTTCCTGTTTTGTTAATTTTTGCCATTCTAACTGGTGTAAGGTGGTATCTCATTGAGGTTTTGATTTGTATTTTTCTGATGGCTAGTGATATTGAACATTCTCTTACACCATACACAAAGATAAACTCAAAATGGATCAAAGACCTCAATGTGAGATAGGAATCCATCAAAATCCTAGAGGAGAACATAGGCAGTAACCTTTTCGACATCGGCCACAGCAACTTCTTTCAAGACATGTCTCCAAAGGCAAGGGAAACAAAAGCAAAAATGAACTTTTGGGACTTCATCAAGATAAAAAGCTTCTTCACAGCAAAGGAAACAGTCAACAAAACTAAGAGGCAACCCATGGAATGGGAGAAGATATTTGCAAATGACATTGCAGATAAAGGGCTGGTATCCAAGATCTATAAAGAACTTCTCAAATTCAACACCCCAAAAAACAAATGATCCAGTCACAAAAAATGGGCAGAAGACATGGACACTTCTCTAAAGAAGACAAACAAACGGCTAACACACACTGAAGGTTTTAATCATGGAGATGATACAGTCAGATTTTTCTTGTAGAATATGACTTGAAGGCTACGTAGAGAATGGGCTGGAGGGGACCAGAGTGGATACAGGGGGTTAGGTTACAGTGTGCTTATTCTCCATGTCAGAGATGATCTTGGCTTTGGCTCTGTTGTGGCCCCAACAGAGGAGGAGAAGGAGGAGTATGAGTCGCCACAAATAGGACCAAGTGGAGAATATTTAGCAGGTATTCAGTTGATGTGAAGGTTGGGGAGAGAGAAGCAACAAGGACAACACTGGCCTCAGCATCTGCCTTATATAACATCCGTGTATTCAACCATTGTCCTAGCACTTTCATTGCACAGGACGTCTTTCTGCCTTATGATCATCTTACCTCCACCACTATTCAAAACCACCTTGCCTGTAGGCAGGCTGGATGTGGACGGGGAGGGAGGCAAGGCAGAGCTCCCCTCCCAGGATTTGGATGGGAAAATCCCCAGGAGTCCACATCCCCTTGTAACCTGAGGAAAAGGTGATATTGTTGGAGACTTCCAAGGGAACATACCACTTAACAGATACTCAATTAATGTAATACGGTAGGTTGAATATTCAGAGACCCCCAGAGAGACAGGGTATCTCAAGACCGTGGCATTTTCTTACTTTATACTCCTTTAACACCAGAAGCAGCTGAAGAAGTAAAATATTAAGGGGGAGAAATAGAGTATAAAAAATTCAAAAACAAGAGACTGTCCTAACTGGTCACATATCTGCCCCTGGTCCGCCACAGTGCAGGCTGTGTCATGTGGAAGGAGAATCAGGTCTCCCAGGACATGGTAAAGAAATTGGGGAAAAGGCAAAGAACAAATATTGTGTATCCACTCAATGAACTATTTGGGTTTTTAAAAATCATGTTTTTGATGACAAGTTAATGGAGAGGAGAAAATGCTCACTCTTTCATGTTAAACAAGCAGAAGAGGATAAAAATAGGGTTTGTCTATGCATAAAAGGATTACAGGTTACCTTTTATTTTCTTTTGTGTATCTTTGCGTTCTCCAAATTTTCTGCAAATAGCGTCTGCTAAAAAACAGAATAAATAAACCACTGCAATTCCAGAAGGAGCAAAGAGTAATCACTCTTCTATTTGGTGCACGTGAGGCATCTGTGATCATTTCCTAGTGGGATATTTTGTTGATTCAACAACAATTTGCTGCATGTCTATTATGTGTCAGGCCCTATGGGGAGTCCTATAGATACGGAAATAAAAACCACAGTGTCTGTCCGCCCTCCTACCCACATGTTCACCACCCAGCAACATAGGCACATAAACATGCCAGCACAGAGAACGCCGCTCATGCAGGGATGCTCAGTAAGTGGGAGAAGTGAGAGTGCAGAGGAGGGTCCCTCACTGAACCTAAGGGATTGGGGGTGGGGCTTCCTGGAGAATCTTGAAGAGTGAAAGAGTTAAGAAGAGGTGGGAGAGGGGAGCCTCGGTGGTTCCTTCGGTTAAGCATCCGTCCCTTAAAAAAAAAAAAAAGCATCCGACTCTTGATCTCATCTCAGGTCTTGGTCTCAGGGTCATGAGTTCAAGCCCTGCACTGGGCTCAGTGCTGAGCATGAAGTCTATTTAAAAAAAAAAAAAAAAAAAGGAGAAGGAGAAAAGAATTCTGAGCAAAGGCATCACCTTGAGAAAAGAAGAGTCAGCAAAGGTCGGCAGCGTAACACATGCTGGGGGAAAATAGGGAATAGCTTAATAAGCTAAGGGGCAGTGGGATTTCTCTGGAGAGGATCCGTGAAGCCAGATCCTAAAGGACCTTGAATGCCACCCTAAAGTGTTTGGATTTTGTTCAGAAGGCAGGGGAGATCCATGAAAGGTTTTAAATAAAGGAGTGATGCATAGATTTGCTGGCAAGAGAAGCAGAAATAAAAATGCTTCTCTGCATTGGAGGACAACTTCATTTTTGTTTATGGCTAAAAATCTTCCATTATAATTAGGGGGGGTCTAAACTAGGTTGTTTATATTTTTCCAGTTGACTTTTGGTTTTGTTCCCCATGGTTATTTTTAGCCCTATTATATTGTCTGGCACACTGTAGGGCTGGAGTTCATGTTTGGTGGTTGAGTATGTTAAAAGATCATCACCAGAAGTGCCATCCATCCATGTCTACATCCATCTGTCCATCCTTCTGTCCATCCATCCATCCGTCAATACATTCATCCATCTATCCATCCAATAGACATATTTGCGTACCTACTACGTGTCATGACCTGTGCTAAGAACTGTGGTAGGAAAAATGATAAAGTAAACAAACATATTTCTGCAATACATAACTGCAGTCAAGAACAGCAAGTGTAAAATTAGAGATATGTATTAAGTAGGCTGGCAAAGAGCATGAGAAATAGAGTGGCCAATTCTATTGCAGAGGTAGAGCAGGCATCAGGAAACTAAGTGGAAGGAAGAACAAGGGCTGGAGGGGTGTATGGCCAGGAGCGAGGGGTGGCAATGCACTGCAGGGAGGAAACCACCAAGCCAATGGCATAGAACAGGATGGAAGACTGTTCACGGAATCTCCGATAAACACTGCAGACAAAGACCACCAGCGAGTGGCCTTTACCAGAGCTAGTAGGAAATCAGTTATCAAGTCTCTGTATTTGCTGCCCCAAACTCAGAAGTTATTAATTTATTATTATGGTTGATGTTGTTGAATCAAATTAGCTATCAGGCCAGGTTTTGATTTGTCCAACACTTTGAGATGGACAGAGCTCAGGATGGATCCACCCAATTACCTAAAGGTGGATGAACTGAAAATTCCAGTCAATTATCAAGAGGTTCGGAAATATCCAGTTTGTTATC